TCTGTGTGCTACATTTATTCTTTGTTGTATTTCCATATCTTCTTCATTATTATTCGCCAGCATTACTCCCAAATAAGTGAAGTTGTTTACTTTTTTAAAGTTGTACCCTTCTATTTCTATATAGTTGTCATTGTTTATTTGGGTTGCTCTCCCACACTCCATTATTTTTGTTTTCCCTTCATTTATTCTTAAACCAACTTTCTTTGTATGGTTTAGGAGTTTTGTGACCAGCATTTTCAACTCTTCTTTACTCTCCGCTATAATTACAACATCATCTGCAAATGCAAGGACGTTTATTTTGGTCCCTATTGTAATTCCAGCTACTGTTTGTCTTACTTCTTGTAGTGCTTCCTCTAAAGCTAAATTAAATAGCAATGGGGACAAACCATCCCCCTGTCTTACGCCTGTGCTTACATCAAACTTTTCTGAGATTTCGCCATTTATCTTAACCTTACACCTAGATTCTGATATGCTTGATTTTGATAAGATTATTAATTTTTAGGGTATTCCATACTTTTCCATAATCTTCCAGAGTCGTCTTCTACTAATCGAGTCATATGCTTTGGAGAAATCGATAAAAAGGCAGAGAAAGGTTTTATTGAATTCATGGTATTTGGCAATTGCCTCCTTCAGTATGAATATTTGATCGGTGGTTGATCTACCTCTTGTGAAGCCTGCTTGATGTTCACCTATTATATTTGATGTATACTCCTCCAATATTTTTTGTAAAATCTTTGATAGTATTTTGTAGGTGCTGTTGAGGAGAGAAATACCTCTGTAGTTGGTGCACTCTTTTTTGTCACCTTTCTTATGAATAGGAATGACTATCGCTTCCTTCCATTCGTTTGGAATCACTTCTTTTTCCCAAATATCCAGAATCAATTTGTGAATCTCCTTCGCTAGTCTTGCCCCTCCTGCCTTAATCAATTCTGATTATATACATATACATATAACATGGTTGATAAATGTAAAATCACCAACGAGTGTTTAATTAAATTAATCCTTAGTTAAAAGTTTTATTTTTAGCTATTGCATTTTCTTTCATCCGTCAATCTATCAACGGGAGATCATAATTGTGAGTTGTTTGTAATGTTCAATGCACCCGTTGCATTCGCGGTAGTGTCTTATCGCACCCGAGGTCAACTTCTAAAAACTCGGGACGGAACCAATCAGACAAAACATTATTAGTAATATACATATTATTCATTTCGATATCCATGGAACATCCTATATAAGTCACAATACTAAAGATTCAACATGAAGTTAATCTTCCTCGGAATACAAATACAATATTCTCAATCACTAGGAGCGGGCCTTGCTATGCATATGCTAAAGTTCGTTTCTAATTAGTTCTTGGGTGCCTCCAAGTCAAAAGTACCCAGCTATAACAAGACCCCCTGGGCTCAGACGGCCTGTTTATGGCCAATAATCCCACCAATGACGAGTTGGCGGTCTGCCCTGGACTCGCGGCTGGATAACACATGCTTCTGGACGACGGCACACCAGAAAGTGATGGTAAAGCGATAAATTCAATTACTTAAACCTTTTAATTTAAAAGATAGCTTAAGTAGCTAAAAGTTTATAGTCCTCACCTTCAAAGGAGATAGATCCTGAGAAAAGTGAGCTTTTTGATGGATTAAAACTGGACCTTGAGCATCAAGCTTTGAATTAAACAATGGTTCTGGCTTAATCAATGGCTTATTTAATTGAGTAATAAAGATACACGGATAATTTCACTCCAATCACCTTTTGACAAGTTTTCGTTCTTAAGATTAAGAAGATGATGTATACGAATGAAAACAGTATTTTACAGCAACGCATTTGGTTGAATTTAAGTATTTTTTCTTGTTCTTAAACTGGTTACAGGATGGATATTGAATCTCTAATTCTTCTCTTCTCTACAGTCAACTCAAAGACAGAACTCTCTACACATCTGTAGGGTAGCCTCGGATAAGTTTAACCTAGGATGACACTGACACAGCAGTAGGTAAAGTAGTTCCTTGAAATTTTGAATAGTAATAATGGGTGCGCCTCAAGGTCCATAGACTCATCTTAGTCCTCCCAGGCCACGGCTAGTGGCTCTTGACAATCGATCTATTGTCAAATTCAATATGAAATTTGTTGGAATCTTTCTTTCCGGGCCAATGAGGAGTTGAAAAGTATAAAATAGTGAATAATTCATATATTGATGATTTAATAGCTGGAATGTTTATGTTGTTTAAACACGTTATTCTTCATAAGAAGGTAACATGGCTTCTGTTACCTATCCACCCATTCCTAATAGAGTAAACGAGTCATCGAATGTAAATAAAAGCATCCGAAACAAATTGGTTAACCTTATAAAATAATTCAAATTCCTGTTTTCGTGTGGAAAACAACCAGATGTGATATAAAAGCCAGAGAGAATGAGGCAAATATTTAGATTTATCAGCATATTCCAAAAGCGAGGGTCAATGATATTCTTGATATCGTCTCAATATCCATTCCCTGTTTACCATAAAAGTGCATTTCTCGATTATTACAAAGTAACAAATGCAACTAAAAGGATTGGCTGACATTTTTCGACAGAGTAATAAAATTTCCTTGAGTTCTGTTTGTGAATTACACCACAGAATAATCATCTTATATATATATATAAAATCCAATGTATGTTAGTTTGTATGTATGTATGTTTGTTTGTACTTTATGGACTCAGGAACCGCTCGACAGATTGTAATGAAACTTTCAGGCATTATTAAGCATTATTCAATGATGGTTTGTGTGAAGTTTGGTGCAGATCCGTCAAAAGGGCTCCGCCCCAGTGGCTCTGGAGTTTCTCATGTTAACCTTATGAGTACTCATATTTAAATGGAATTAAAGAATCTTAACAGCCTGGTTCAACTAAACAATTTGATTCTGTGATGTTCAATAGCATTTAAAAGGTAATAGGTTTACCAACAGCGTGCAGCAATATTATTTTTTTTTATTTACGATAACAGCTAATTCGCAACCAAAAGGTGAGTGAGCGTAGCGAACGAACTTCAACCTGGAGGCGAGTTAGCGTAGTGAACGAGCTAAACCTGAAGGCAAGTGAGCGCAGCGAACAAGCTCCAACCTAAAGGTGAGTAAGCGTAGCAAACGAACGTCCACCAGGACGTGGTTGAGCGATGCGAACGAGCTCATCTTGAAAATGAACGAGCATTTGACATAAAACCACATTACGACAGGACGACGTATGTCGGGCCAGCTAGTATAACATATACAAGCCTTTATTCTATGTATACGTAGTAAGTATCGTACGATTGCATTTCGAAATGTTAAAACTTCGTCTGATTAATAAACGAAATTAAAATATCTTCAACAAAGATTAAGTAAAACTTTAATTTTAGCATTGCATTTCTAAGTACTGCGAGCATTTTAAACTATAAAAATACTTCCAAAATGCACAATATATTACATGTCAAAATTAATTGTCCCTCCATTCAATGCAACAAATTTTTGTCACAACGCCTTCTTCAGTTTCTCATAGTCGGTTACGATCATTCCCCCTTTTAATTTATTGTCTCGATACCTATTTCCTAGGCAAAAAATACCCAAGAGTAATAGAGAGTGAAAAACTACTTGTTCACGTATCTAAAATCCTGATACCACCAAATTAGCATAGTTCTCTTCATAATCTAGACATGGGATGACCTGAATCCGTCATGTGAGTGAACCAATGAGAACGACCGATAAGATGTAACATACCCAGTCTGCAATGCTGGGTTTGGAAGCTGTAACATTCTAGTGATAAGGTTGATAACAGACAGACTTTTTATCACTTCGTGGTGTATCTTTCACACACCGTCCTACCTAGGAGATACCACGAGAACGCTTTGTACAAACTTGTAATGTAGCTGTGGTGCAAAGATTCAGATTATGTATCATTCAATCAATGATTGCCCTTTGAAGGCTCCCGGCTCGATTGTCCAGCTTCATATGGAAGAAAACCTGAACGAATTGGTGACTTGAATTAGGTTTTGGAAAGGAGGATATTATTTTTACTTTTCAAACTAGCTTGAAATTCATTTTTTCAGGTAGTTTTACAAGCAACCTATCCAGTTTGAATCGTACCTGAATGAGGAAGCACACATTCACGTGTTCCCAAAAGCAAACTATTTTAGTTTCTCTTGCGAGTTCGCTTTAAGATTACGGTTATTTCAATTCAAGCTAAATCAATTGCATACACTTCCCACGAATATTACATTTACTGAAACAAAGCTCTACGATTAGGCCTACCTTTATTTTGGAAAACAGTTGTTGACTAAATTTTGGCCATATAGTAATCTACTTGAGCAATTAGGTCATTGATAAGTTGTTAAATTCAACATACTCTAATTGTATTCCGAGTAGTATACATATCTGCGGGGTGTAGGCCAACTTCTTCTGCGTGATATTCAAAATCAACTTGAATCTTTGAAATACAATAGCTCTACAATATCAAACTACTAATTAATCGTGTCACAGTACACTAATACACCACAGCAATAGTAGCGACAGCTGCCATCTTCGTAACCCTTTTATCGACACTCTTCTTATCATCAGCACGTTCTGCGTTTTATGCAACATGACCTCAGCAATGGAATGACTCATATGATGCAGCAACCGTACTGACTTGCTCAAATACACATCATATTGCGTTGGAAAAGTATATTGAAACTCATTTGTCAGATTTTAACGGTGTTTACCCTTATTGCCATCCGAATGGAGAGATATTTTTTGCATAGGAAACATTAGCTTGCGTCACGATTGTAGTTACTATATGAACTACAACCTGACGAGAAGAGGAAAAAGAATTACAATCTCGCTAGACACCCAAGTACAACACTTAACACTTAACTAAGTAACTTAACACTAACTATACACCCAAGTAAAATCCACATCTCGAGATCTTGTTATACAACCGATAACCGAAATGAATGTTCCCTCTACACCTATTTTTTCTATGATGAGTTACAATAAAGATCAAATGAAAGTCGTACCTCAGCGTGTGACGGTGTTTGCAGCAGCGCCAGGGCTAGACACCCCAGCAGCACCAGGCGTCCAGCAGCCATCTCTAGTCACAGACACTGCTACTGTCGATCGGTCATGCTGCAACAGACAAATCAGTGATTTAAGTCAATATAAGGAAGATGGAATTTAAGTAAACAAGTATAATTCAAAATCAGATAAAGGAGAATCAACCTCAGTAAGAGGAATGTCCGTAGTTGGAGAAAAGAATCTTAAATGGAGTGAGGTGTGTCAGCATAGAATGCGAAAGTCAAGATCGTGAAGAGGAAAGTAAACAGTGGAAAGGGAGGATTCAAAGACAGAAAAAAGAGACAATATCAGAAACTGAAAGTAATTGTAGAAAGAAGGGAGTAAACATCTAGGAAGTCAACGTTAATAGGAGAAACACAGGAGGAAGAATACACAACTTTGCTAAAGGAATCACTGGAAAATGAAATGTTAACTTGGCTAGAGGAAACACTGGAAAAAGGAATGTTAACACTGGATAGAGGAAACATCAGAAATAATAACCTTGACCCTATAAAGAGGAAAGTCAACATTGGAAGATGATATTATAAGGGAAGATAGAGGGAGAGGAATCGGTTAAAGAAGGAAAAATGTTTATGTTAACTCTACTAATAATTTGCTAGCCTGCTATATAAAACATTAATAACTTATCTCAAATGCTTCAGGAATATACTCTTTTCGTATTGGTTAAGGAAGCCTTTAGATACAACTTGTTTTTATGAACTCACTTAGTTTTTATGCAAATATGTACTTAGTCTGATTTCAAAGCAATAAACTACACCTACTTATCTGAAACCACGATGTATAAAAAAGTCCTATAAATATATTTCTTTCACTTAGAAACCCACATGAAATAAATTATCCACAACAGCCCATGACGCAATCGCTCAAACAATCCAATTCGCAGTCTTTGACACCCAAGGAAATAGACAACTAAAGTTACGACCACTAAACTCAAATTAACTTTTAACCGACCAAACCTTGGGGCCAATTATCACAATGAGTTGTGACTATTTAAAACTTCTCATCAGACCACCGAAAAGGCAATAAACTAAGTAGGCCGTGAATATAAAAGAGGAGGACATCACCGCTAAATGTGTCCCAAACTGGGGCGGTGACGTCAACAACGTAACTCATCTGATCTGGTACAATGGGAGCCGGGGCCTACGTGGACGTATAGCTTTCACAATACCTAGGGCACAAGTTGCGTGGTTGTCTGAAGACTTATGAAACGATTGATCATATTTAATTTTTCAAATAGCATTAGATAAAGATATTGGTTATTTTTTAGAAAAAAAATGCGATTCTGAATAGTGCAGAGAGACCTCGCGGTCGAAAGGGCCGACCTAAAACATAAACGTTGCTTTTAATTTAAGAGGTTTACAAACAGAAAACACGAGTGAAAAATCAATTGTTCACTGATGGTAAAAAATAGGCCTATTTAGTTTAAATTATTTTGAATTTGGCACCTAAAGCTTCTACATAGGTCCATAACATGAACAGAAACACTTCTCAATCTTGTCTCCTGCTGATACATAAGGATGATAAGTACAAGGAATAAATAAAATTTCAAATAAAAGGAAGAAAGTCAATCTTTACTTTTATTTAAGCTTATAGAATTCCAGCAACTGCTAAGATCAAATTAGTAATCAAATTAAACCGAGATGATAATGATATTGTAAAAAGATTTACTTAAAAGAATACAAAAACCTCCAGATTGGCATGGAAAATGTAAACGTAAACTATAATTCTATCTATATATTAATAGGCAAGCATGTTTCTTTAAAACCTTTTTTCTCAGCTCGTGTGCATTGTAGGGAAAATCTACGCATACTGTTGGAAAGATATTTTTCTGTAGGTGTGCAGAATCCCTTTATAAATTAAAATAGGCTCAAAAATAAGCACAACAATTAATTTTAAATTTTAAAAATTAACATGGGCTTATGGGTTGCTATGCTTGTGACAAAATAACTACGAAATGTAAAAAGAAATCCAAACAAATTAAAGAAATTCCAATCACATGTTTTATTTACAGCGTAGGGTGAAAATAGAGAAGTCTGAACATTACATATTTTTGGGTGAGTTTTCGACCACTGGACGACCTCTAGTAAAGTTAAACCTACAATTTAACAAACTTATTACTTGTTTTTGCGAGCTTTATATGTTTCAACAAAACAAAACGAGATTTTTGTAAACCTTAACACTCTTTTGTACTACTGTACAGAGAAATAGGCTATTAATTTCAAAACTAACAATAAAAAAAAAACAAATAAAAACATTCATCTAACATCAACGTACTAGAACGTAAACTTGCCTTCCAACACATACAAAAACTAGCTAAATTAATTTTAAAAAAATTCTAATAAAATATTTTGAAAATTAGTAAAGATTATTACGCCAAGTATCGAGATAGTTCGAGTTGAATTGAAGATATTGTGTCACTACGTACAGTTAAGTACAAAGGACATTTACTCTAAAGAAACTCTCTTGACAAAGCTTCAAAAAAACTCTGACATTTTCTTCCTCGGCCACAATGTCTACGCGCAGCAAGAAGCGGTCTGAATTATAACACTGAGGGTATAAACTATGCTCAGGATTATAGTGACGTAAGAAAGGCTTACTGGATCAGGACAACTCACTGTTACTCCACAAGACTTACACGAGTTATGAGTTCACAAGAGACTGTTGTTGGAGTAAATCAAATGTATTGTTGGAGAAATGTTACTGTGATTTAAACCCTTATGTTAGCGGCTCTATAAGGACTATCTTGTTGGATTAGAGTAGTAATTTATGTGATAGTTAGAAGAATAAAAAACATGAACTGTCAGTGTGTAAAATCGTAAATTAACCTTGAATCAGCTACGTTCGGTCATGTTCCGTACGTTCTAGACGAGTCTTACATCGAGTAAGCTGAAAACTCCTCTTGATACCCACCAACATAAAACACACATTTGTTTGTGATTTGTATATGCTAATACCACTATTTGAAGGTTCGGGCCCACCAAAATCTTCAGATTCAACCATAAACTAAAAATATATAGATAACTCGAAAAGAGGACATTATTATCATTATCATTGTGAGATGGGGACACCTCCAGGTGCGTATTTTAACCCAAACACGAGTGAAGGATGAGTGTATAATGTTGTGAAATGATCTGGGTAGCTTTGTTACTGGCTAGATCAGCTGTTTCATCAGTCAGGATCATTTAATGCCCAATAAACAGGGACAGCTGGGTCCAGTTACGAAACCACCAAAAAGCTACTATTTCTCAGGATCGAACCAGCGACCTTTTGATTGATAAGTTTGCCAGCATATGATATCATAGACAAATCTCCCGAGAGTTCGACATATCTAAATCTGTAAGGAACCCCGACTATGATCTAGTAAAGACAATTTAAGTTAATTGTGGTTGCATAGTATCATTGACTATTTATACCTATATATAGTCATTCCTATATATATTGACTGTAGGTATATATAGTATATATAGGTATATAGTATATATAGGTATATATAGTCAATGATAGTATGCATTTTTTTTTGGGGGGGGGGGGGGTTTAAGCACCATACATTGACTACATCCTATCACGGTAGACTCTTGTCTTCAATTCAGAAATGTATGCAACAGAGGACTCCACAATCCAATTGCTGTTGTCAAACATGTCTGTTCATTCATTATGTCTAAGTTAGCTTTATTAAAACGGATATAATTCGTTTTACTTTATTATCAAGTGGTTCATAATGTTTTGCTTGTGCTTCAATTAACTTGCCTTGTCTCCCATGTAGATTTTTCTTCAACCAATTTACCCCAATGGTGCCATCAACAAATCTTATACATTTTCCGATTCAAGACTATGTATCAAAATAAAATAGATAACGAACTGAACGTTTCGAAAAACATACTGTACACTACGTGAAACAAATTGTGTACAAACTGAAACAAACTGGATACGACTTGAAACAAACCGTAATTACTAATACACCCCATGACATATACGGTATGCAGTGTTCTTTCCAGCCATGTATTGTCGGAGTATGTCGATCAGATAGTCGCGTTCCTGTGGGTCTCACGACATCACGCTATATAGTCTGAATGGTCTGAATGCACAAATGCACCGCGCCCGTCCAAAATATGTGTGTATTTTCAAAATCTTTGTTCGGTCCGCATAAATGTGTGAGGACAGTCAAGTTTATGGATTGTTCAAGTTTCGATGATTCCGCTTTGAATCTTTGATGGCGACTTTAAAAAAATGGCGTAGTTGTAGACTTAACGTGCATTTGACGAATAATAACACTCGTTGACGTAAATTAAATGTTGAATCGTATAAGTAAACCTACGTATATTTGAGTAAGCCCAGTCCGAATTACAGAAATGCGTTCCCATTTAAAAATTAATTTGGAAGTGGGTATTAAAATACCACAAAACAGGTCTAATACATCAAAGAAACAAACCATCAACCCACCTTCATTAAAATTAACTTTAACAATAAGAACGCAAAAAGTAGCTTTGTAAAATCAAAGAAGCTAAATTAATGAATTGGTTTTTGATAAAAGGTTTTTACAACTGCCGAATGATTGTTTATAACCACTCGATAACAGCTTGATTAGCTCAAATCGATAGCCTTTTTAAATCAAAATACTTCGATGGTTTCGGCGTCAATCGTGATTATAAACAAATTAATTTTTATCTTAGAGAGAGACTATAGGCACAGAACTCTGTGGAGCCGGGTGAACGGCCGTTCGGAATCCCAGACGATGAGGAACATAACCTCAAAATACCGCCACAGAACAGCTGATCACGCCGGTGTGATTAGCGACGGCAATCAGCTGGTTAGTGGTTACAGACAGGCTTCCGGATACCGCGGAAAATCTCGTACTATATGAAGTCTGCCATGGTTGATTATGCATTTAGTGAGATCAAAAAGCTATCAGAAAGCACTCATTAAAATGACACAACGGCTGATATGTTTTGTTATAAAATTATACAAACGATTGTATTGTAAAAGTATTAAATAACGCCAGATGGATAAAAAAGTTTTTTTCATTAGGGTTTACATAGTTTTATCCTCCTCGC